CGCTGACACAGATTTTATCTTCGAGTATTGAAAAGATCCCTCACGAGCTGAGCTTGCTTCTGTTTAACATATAATCATATACGAAAGCAACTTTTGTCGTACATTATATAGAGAAACCCCGAATGTGATATTTTCCTTTTCTAATGAGAGAAATATAGGTATTTCACAGATAATAATATGATAAACCGGCTGGTGTATGTTCATCAATAGTTCCATAAGCAGAGCGACATATCCTCCTATTCCATAAACAGACCCGATATCGATTGAAACGATCGATGCACGAATCTCTTGTACATTGTGTTTTTATCCTTCTACAATTATATCAAAGGTGCTGTTTGCAGGCACGGTGAAGTATGGTTAGGTTTGACGACGTACTTCCAGACACGCTGAAATACGGTCAGATGCGGCGAAGTATGTTTGGGTAAAGCAATGTACAGCAAAGTACCTTCAGGAGAAAGACCGTCGGTCTTGCAAGGAACTGTTCCAACAAGCATCATGTGATGGTTCGTCATGGGCAACATGTGGTACCGCTTTTTCACATTCTCTGTTTTACTTACTGTGGCTTTTCGTCCGAAATGGATGATCAACAGAGAAGGATGGCATGCATGTCAGGACACCTTGCAGCGTCAAACAAATCAGCCATCATAATTTGTCTGTTCAGTTTAGCATATTTCTGTGCCCAAGAGACAGCAAGACCATAGTTTATGAAGTTTTTTTGCCTTCCTCAAGATATCATAAACTCTAAAAGAAGATTGGGGGGGTAATGTATGGAATCATTCCTTTGCATGCCCTGTTAATACAAGACAGGACCTCGGGGGGGTGTCGCCGCCTCGTCCCGCCCAAAAGCAAGCAAGGCGTTTTAATTCAACTTTGGGGGGGCCTATGGCAACAATATATAAGATACTAAAACTTATCTGAGCAAGTATTGGTAGGGGGGGGATTATATTTAGTTAAAAGAAAAAAATCAATCAAAACTTATACATTCTGAGTGGGGGGGGACAAAACAAAAGAAAACAATCGTCGTTATTGAACAACTATTTCAATTTTGGGGGGGGGTCGCAGCCGTTTTATCTTCAATGAAATATTCAAATTCTTACTGTGATCATCTGGGGGGGTGAAACTATGGTTCAAGATACGGAAATTGAGGAAAACGTCAGGATAGTTCC